GTTTAGGGGTATGGAACAGCTTCCGTATGAGGAGAGATTAAAAAGACTGGACATTTTCAGCTTGTGTCCTCTTCCTCTGGCCTAACCCAATGAAAATACCCTTTGTTCTAGGGGATTCAAGGGTTTGGATTGAAGAGTTTGGGAACCTTCACTTGAGATAACAGGCTCGGTGCATATCCTTTTCCTCAGATGAAATGACAGACTTTTTATGAACTTGTATTGCACAGGAGGATACTGATCAGTACAAGATGCACATTTCTGGGGGACGAGGCTGGCACTGGGAATTGGCTGGTGTCGCTCTGCAGGATAATTCAGGAGTGTCTTGCTGGAAGTTTTCCTCTAATTCAGCTGGGAGTGACTTTAAATGCTAGGGGCTGTGCATGAGCAGGGCCAGAAGTGGTTGCTTTCACAGCGGAGCAGTGTAGGAGGCACTGCAGGTTGGAGACCTGAGGGAATACGGCTGTTCAGTGGTCCAGATTGTACCCTGGGAATGTCACAGTGGATACTTTAAGGAAAGCAGAGCTGAAATCTAGTTTAAAATAGTCTAATATTAATATCCTAAAGGACATTTGGGCCACATGATCATAAGGACCAGCCTGTCTGGAATGTTTAAGACTGGCAATTGGTCATTGAGTCAGTATTGCCAAGTGCTGAGTCTTCACAAGATTGTCTGTGCCGAGTCTCAGTGACAATCATGCGTTCTGACTGCAGGGACTTGTTTAAACCCTTCTCTTTCCAAAAGTACCAGCCACCCAACCCAGTGCTGAGCTGGTTTAACCCTGCTCAGCCAATCAGCATTTAGATACTGCCTAGTACATCAGTGTTTGGAATCAGAAAGAGTCAAAACCACGGCAGCAAAACCACTGCCCCACTCTTAGAAGTTGGTGATGCAGACAGCTGCTGCTTTCCATCCTGTACAGGGGTGGGGCTGGGAAGGACTCCCATGCTCAGTGCTACAGTTCAGAAGCCTGCAGCCAGGAAGCCAGCAGATCTCCTGAATTAACTCACTCTGCTCATTTCTTAGGAGCAGCCTTTGACTGGGCACAGGAAGATAATTGGGTTGACTTGGCCTTGTCTCAGTGAATTGGAAATTCAGCTAATGGGAAATGCCCGTCATGCTGCAATCACAGCCCTTGTTTACACTTATATGTGAATGAAAATGAAGACACTTTTTCTTTGTGCAGGATACACCCGCTTCAACAAATATTCCATTGGTTGTGTTTATGCTCGGGGCTTCTGCCAGCATACATGTCCCCCCAATTTCAGACGAATAAGAAGTTGCGGTTTTGGGCTGAGTTGCTGTAGGAAATGGGTAAGTTCAGAATGCCACAAGGGAGACATTACTGTGTAAACAGAATATTTGTGTCACTAATTTCTATAGCTGCTGTTTAATGACCTTGGAGGCTCAGAGCACATGGCCCAACCCTGACATGGGACAAAGGAAAATTCTGTGCTGCCTGATTCTGGACTATCTGGAGTTTCCATGTTAGAGTGAGAGTAATTGTATAGCTGCTTTACTCAGGCTGCCTATGGTCTGTCCACAACCCAGAGCAGCCCAGAGTCTCCCCAGTGCTCAGTGCTACATGTAAGCCATGTATTGCTCATGTATTGCAGTTACTCTCCACCACCCATTTTGAAGCCCCTCTGGCTTGCCAACATGGCATCATACAGACAATGTCTCTGGCCAGTCTGGCATCCATTTACATCATTGTTTCATTTAGGAATATGGAAAACAACGGGGAAGGACTAAAATATATTTCCCAAGAGAGAGTATGGGGGATGCGTCTCCTTTGTATCATTGTGCAGCACTTGTGAGATCAAAATGGCTGCTCTTTACAACAGTAATGCTTAATTTACCTAAAAGAAACATGTACAAGTATTGAGCTATGTTGAAGGGTGTGTGTGTCGTATCACAGTATAAAATGATCAAATCTGTCACAGAAAAATTAGAATAATCAGCAACACGGCTTCTGATTGACACTTATACTTTTAAGCCTTTCAAAAATGTTATGTCACTCTTTCAGTCATTGACAGAAGGATCCTAATTTCAATAACTACCCGAGGACACATTGAAGCATAGAATTTTCTTGGTAGCATTCAGCATAATGAAAGCTGCCAGTCTCATTCCATTATAATTCCTTCTTCTTACATACTTGTCCTTTTCTGGAAAGGTCTCCTTTGTGGATATCATTTCTCAATTTGAAAGGCCTCCTGTCCTCAGACTGAGACGAGTTGGTAGGACCTATTGTGAGTCTATCTGGCAAGAAAGAGAGCAGGGAGGCTGAGTTGACAAAAAGAAATGGCTTAAAAATGAAGCCTGTAAAAGCAAACTGAGATAAGCTTAGAGACGAGATGAGCAGAGGAGAATTTGGGAGCCCTACATGGAAGCAGCCGAGGGGAAGAAATGGTCACTCAGCCCCCGAGGAAGCATCTCTAGCCCAGAGGGTTTAGTGTTTTTATTTTTATTGTTATTTTGCCCCAGGTGGTGAAGAATTATTTTGCCCCAGGTG